CCCAGCTTGCAGTCACACTGGTACGTCTCATTGCTCTTTTTGACGCCTGATGAGGAAGGAAGGAAACATGCGATTAAGATCAGTGGAACTTACATAGTGAAAAACAGGCCAGACTTACAGGTAGCTCCATTGCGGCAGAGGTGTCGCAGACAGGGATCAGTTTGGTACTGGCACATCTTTCCCTCAAAGCCTTGTGGACAGTGGCAGGAGTAGCTGTTGATGCCGTCAATGCAGGTGCCCCCATTTTGGCAGCTGTGAATAGTGCAGTCGTTCTTGTTCACCTCACAGTTGGTTCCTAAAAGAAATGAAATGATGAGTAATCATCGAAAATCATTTTTAAGTGATCAGTATATGTACCTTCAAATCCAGCCTGGCAGGAGCAGTAGTAGCCGAGCGATTCGGGGTCCAGCTCGTACTGATTGCCGCTGTCATGTAGACTTTGATTGTTGTAGAAATTGCCATGAGGCTTCTGGAAGCACTTGCCGCCATTCAAACAAGGGTGCGATTGGCACTCATCAATGTCCACATCACACAGTCGTCCTGTGTTAGAGTGTCAGTGTGTGTAATCGTGCAGTGGAGATGAGTGTCACGTGCGGGAGGCATTAGGAAACAAAAAAGTGTGATTAGTCATTGTTACTCGCTGTTGCCCATTTGCAGCTGTCAATTTCAGTACTCAAACTTCCGCAAAATGTTACGTTCTCCCTCCCCCTCAATTTACATACCTTCGAATCCTTTGTGGCAGAGGCAGGTAAAGTTGTTCACCAGCGGCCTGCACTCGTAGGTGCCCTGCTCGTGGCAGGGACCATGCGGCAGAGGGAGGCAGTGGTTGATGAATTCATCACAGATCGTTCCTGAGCAGTGGGGAAAAGGTGATTTGTCATTATTATTGTTATGATTATTAGATTGACTGATTATGTAANAAGGGAGGCAGTGGTTGATGAATTCATCACAGATCGTTCCTGAGCAGTGGGGAAAAGGTGATTTGTCATTATTGTTATGATTATTAAATTGACTGATTATGTAATGGTAACACCTAAATGTAGTGCACCAAAAGGAAGCAAACGCACTTACCTCGATAGCCCGGTGGACAGACGCACTTGAATGTGTTCACCTCATCGACGCAGGTGCCTCCCTGTTCGCAGGGACTGCTAGCGCANGAAATGTAGCGCACCAAAAGTAAGCAAACCTACGTACCTCGATAGCCCGGTGGACAGACGCACTTGAAGGTGTTCACCTCATCGACGCAGGTGCCTCCCTGTTCGCAGGGACTGCTGGCGCACTCGTCAATGTCCACCTCGCAGTTGGTGCCCGTGTAGCCGGCCATGCAGGAGCAGAAGTACTCGCCCACCTTGTCCCAGCAGGTGCCCCCGTTGTCGCACGGTCCCACGGCGCACTCGTTGATGTCGGTGTCGCAGTTCAGTCCGCTCCAGCCCTTCAGGCACTCGCACTCGTAAGTGGAGTTGGCCACCACATTGCGGCAGTTGGCGTTGTTCTGACAGGGATTCGATTTGCACCAGTCGACCGCCGTCTCGCACTGACGCCCGGTCCAGCCGACGCGGCACTCGCACTCAAACTCTCCGAGCAAGTCCTTGCAGGTGCCGCCATTGGCGCAGGGATTCGACTTGCAGANTCTCCGAGCAAGTCCTTGCAGGTGCCGCCATTGGCGCAGGGATTTGACTTGCAGATGTCAATGCGTGCCTCGCAGTCCTTTCCCGTCCAGCCACGCGGACAGTTGCACTTGTACGTGCCAATCTGGTTGCTGCAGGTGGCGTTGTTCTTGCACGGGCTGGAGAGGCACTCGTCAATGTCCTGCTGACAGCGGATGCCCGTGAAGCCCGGTCGGCAGTAGCACTCGAAGCTGCCCTCCTGGTTCACGCAGATACCCGAGTTGCAGATGGCCTTCTCTTCTTGGCACTCGTCAATGTCTGCCTCACACAGCGGCCCCTTCCAGCCTGCGGCACAGGCGCAGGTGTAGTTGGTCAGACCAGATTGGCAGCTGCCGCCGTGTTCGCAGCTGACATTGCGGCAGAAGTCGATGCGTTCGCTGCAGTTGGCGCCCTGGTAGCCGAGGGGACAGGCACAGGTGAAGCCAGTTCGGTGATTGGTGCACACCTCACCGTTGGTGCAGTTGGCGCCCAGACAGTGGTCAGTCTCCTTCTCGCAGTGGTCACCCTCGAAACCCACTTGGCATGAGCATTTGAAGGTGAGCATGTCGTTTGCTGCCAAACAAGTGCCTCCATTCTGACAGGGGCTCTCTTCACAGGGATTTTTCACCAGACTGCAGTTGGTGCCAGTGTATGGTGGCTGACAGGCGCAGCTGTACAGGGGATCACTATCAGCATTCGTACAGGTGCCATTATGAGCGCATGGATTTGGCGAGCAGTGATCGACAGGAAGCTTGTTTTCGCACAGTTTTCCTGTAAATTATTAGGAGATGCTTTAACAACAGTTTCTACCAAAAAAGTTTTGTGCTTACCTTCAAACCCTTCTGGGCACTTGCAGTGAACTTGCTGAGGTTCACCTTCAGCGGACGAAAACACTGCACAGGTGCCACCGTTGAGACAGTGCACTGAATCACATGATGATGTTTCCGATTTAGCGGCAGCTGGTGAGATGTCAGCGTCAGTGTTTCCATCATGTTCACAACGATCCCCACTGAAGCCAGGCTCACAGAGGCAGACCACCTCACTGTTGCTGGTCACCAGACAGGTGGTGGTGGAGTTGGCGAAGCAGTAGTCGTCGAGGCACTTGCACGAGGACCCGACACAGTGCGAGTGCTCAGGACAGGAACTGTGTTCTTCCGCCTCATCACAGGGCAGTTCCACGTCGGAAAAGTAGTGCACGACTGGGGCGGTGGTGGTGGGAAGTGCTGCCGCTGTTTCAGATGCCGGAGAAAGTGTCACCGGATCGCCGTTTGCAGCAACTTCTGCGGCAGCAGCTGGACTCACCGTGGACACCTCACCGGTGTGGGTGAACTCTTCCGGGCTATTGGTGACCACATCGTGCACCACACTGTCGTCTGTTAGGTTGATCGGCGCGTGCATCTCTGAACTGCTCGACGACAATGCTGACTCTCTGTTGAAGATGTTGGAAATGGCCGCTTCCGGACTGACGGCTGATGGTGCCGACGCCGATGCTGCCGATGCCAACGCAGGCGCGGGCAGCGAGTCGTGAGATGCGGGAGATGTGATGAGATTAGAAGGATGAGATTGGCCACGAATCACATTGTGCTGCAGCTGCAGACAGCTGATGAGGAGGACAAGGAGAAGGAGAGGGGATATCACATTTTTGAAGCGGTGTAGGGAGAACATTGGACGGAGGAGGAAGGCCGGTGCCGTAGAACACCAGGGAGGCATCATTGAATCACTGGTCGCTTCGAACAGCACAACTCGAGAAGTGCTACTGCTCGTGTGTAATGTGAGCTGATGGTGGGGTTCAACCAGCACAAATACTTCTGCTACTGCTGCTGCTGTTGGCGTCGGTGTTGGTGGACAACATTCGACCGGTGGTGGTAGAGAACATGCGGAACACTACCACCAACAGACACAGTGGTGACTCACTGACTCACACACCAAATGATGATGATAGTGGTGGTGAAGATGGAAAAAAACTGGGTGAAAAACAACGGAACGAGTTGTCGGCGGCGACAACGGCGAAGATGGCGATGATGATAGTGAGTTGGCTAAAGTAGCGCCAATCAGGATGAAACTGTCAATGAGACTGACTGACTGAGTGACTGAGTGACTGTGTGTGCGTGTGTGGTAACTGGAGTCAGTACACTGGTGCAACAAGTGGTCAGCCAGTGGGGTGATGGTCAGGTCAGTCAAGTGCTGCTGCTGCTGATATTGGAGAAGGAAGTGTGCTCAAGTGTACAGGAACTGGAGACTTACTTCAGCAGTCGCCGCTTAGCTTTGTTTGNTTCAAGTGCTGCTGCTGATATTGGAGAAGGAAGTGTGCTCAAGTGTACAGGAACTGGAGACTTACTTCAGCAGTCGCCGCTTAGCTTTGTTTGACCGCTCTTGAAGAGCGTCTTTCGAAGTACTTTGAGGAATTTCTGCACAGCCAACCGATGATAATAGTAGTAAGGAAGCAGGCAGCCGGGCAGGAATGAAATGGTGATGTTTTGATGCAGCTGCTGCAGCTCCTCTGAAGCGTTACAAGCCACAGTTGTGAGCGAGTTGATTGAGCGAGACAAAGCAGCGAAAGTATGGCAATGGAGAGACTGAAGAATTGACTTCTGCTGCTGCTGCTGTTGCTGTTGCTCTTCGGGCTGACAGACGCGCGTCCAGACGTGGATGTAGTGGTGGTAGTGCACTGTGAGTGTGTGTGTGTATTGGATTGTGTATTCGGTGGTTGGCTGCGGTCGGCGACGACGGAGTCCAGGCAACAGCAGTGAGAGAGAAAGAACAGGCAGCAGTGACGATTAACTGCGCCAGACGCTGAGGTAGAAGCCACAGAAGAAGAAGAAGGAGAAAAAGAAGTGGTAGAAGTGCACTCCAGTGTCCAGCAGCAGCACACAAGTGTCTGTGGAGCCTGTGCACAGCACCACCATCGAGCAAAGGTAGCACATGCTCACCGATGGCACTGCGGACAGCCACAGTGTGTGTGTGAACACACCTTGACTGGAATGCGCTGAGGTAGAAGCCAATTGACGCGGAGAGAACGACAGATTACAGCACTGGGCTTGTTGCTCTTTGGCCAGACGAGGCCTTGGTGACCACCGACTCCACCACCACCAATGCTGCTGCTGCCGCCATCTAATCCTGAACCACTTCCATTCTCTTTCTTTCTGCGAAAGCGACTAAAAGACACAACAGACCTGCGATGTTGTCGATCCACAATGGATGCCAATTGAGCCACCGAGTTGATGCTGACAGTTGAGCGGCCAAGTCAGACGGGAGCCTATCACATCTCTTGAGGGAAAGAGAAAGAAAAGGAGAGAAAGAGAGTCTGTCGCACTTATGAGAAGTCAGTCAGTCCATAATTGTGATTTCTGCTGTCATTTAATTTTCTATTCTCCCTTTGTCCCCCATTGTCTGTTCTCAATCTTGTCGCAGGCAGGCAAGTGCATTCGTCAAATTAGTCGCCCGGTCTGCTCTCGCTCTCTCTCTCTCTCTCTCTCTCTCTCTCTCTCTCTCTCTCTCTC